CGTCTCGGTAATTACGGCCGTGCGGTTAGTATTATCGACCTTAATTAGGTAGAGCTAGTCCCGGAGCACGCGGCTTCCCGGTATTGCGGCCGCGGTCTTTAATATCGCCTCTTTAACCTATACTAACTCGCCCTTACTTCTATACGCTACGCGGATCCGGTCGGCGTTACGTAGGTCCTTAGTAACTACTATATAGCGCTACCGTTCTTATCCTTCGATTCCTCGCATCTCTCTCTCTATATACTCCCGAACTACGCCGGGGTAGGTCCTCGCTTTCTCGGCCTCGTCGGCTCTCGAGATGTCGATCGTATAGTAGAGGGAGTTTATAAAAGCTAATAGGGTTGTGCTTATCGTAAGACTGCGGATGTTGCTAGGTTAACTGTCTAGGGGTGTGCGTGCTACTTCCGTATACGAGCGACTTCTATTAGTAGGTACGCCTACGTTAGCTAGTTGTTCCTAAATGCTCGCTACTACTTGCTGCTAAATACTTACTGCTACTTGCTCTTGTATTATAGTTGTAATTTGTTCGATTGTTAGTACCTTCGCGACTATTTCCTCTAGTTGTTTCAATTTCTCTTCCGCATATTCCGCTCGCCTTTCTGCCTGTTTAACTCGCTCTTCCGCCTGCTTGGCTCGTTCTTCTGCTTGCTTCATCTGGGCTAGCATTTGCCTTTGTGGTGTATTGTCACCAGTCGTAGCCGTTAGTTGTTGTATACTTGGCCTAGACTCTTCTCCTATATCTACCCTCTTTTCTCCCATTGCCCTAGACTTTGTTGCATTCAAGGTGTGCGTGCCTCGATGCAGGCTCCGGTAGTTGATGGTGCCGTGCGATGCTACCCGTTTTGGGCGCACGGTAACATACTCTTCGTCTGCCGGAGGTTCCGCTATCCTCCTCTTTCTCCTTCGTCTGCTGTCCTCCTAGCTGTCTCTGCCTCGTATCTAGTGTGTTCGTTCGTCCGTCCCGTCAGTCTAATCGAAAGGCCGCAAGGTCGCTCTCCTCGTATCTGGCGGTGTTGTGAATTCTCTTGCAATACCTGCTACGCGAGCGGGGCGTCCCGTGCGGTCCGCTGGCTTATGGTGGATGTGGCAGGATGAGCTGGGCGCTTAGAAGAAGCCTTCACCAAATCGACGGAAGCGCGCGCACGGTAGTAGCTTACAGCGCCAACATGTGGGCGGTAAACTCCACATTTTTAAATGGAGGCTGATCTGGCCTCAGCGGTGGCAACGTTTCCCTTCGTTCAATACCGTCCCCCGCAGCGTCACCAGCTTTGCCTTCCGCTTATCTATTCTTGTCCCGAGATGAGTGATCCTCTGTCCGCAGCGACGGCAGTCATCGGCTTGGTTCCTATCAGTTTTCAGGCCGCCAGAGCTCTGCGCGACACCATTCAAAGCTTTAAAAACCACCCCAGGCAGCTCCGCGGCCTCTTCGATGAGCTCGAGGACCTGATCAACGTTCTTGGAGAATTGAAGAGCATTGTGCATGCTGTGGGCGAACCAAGCTTCGTACTGCTCGAGGCCCCCCTTCGGCGTTGCGATGCTGCTTGCAAAGAGTTCACCAAAGCGTTACAGGACTGCGATCGTTCGGACCAAGGGGAATTCAAGTCCACCTTCACGGGTTGGCTCAAGATACGATGGCGGGGAAGCGACATCAACGAGTTCAAAGATACCCTGGCCGGCTATAAGTCCACCATCGCCATCGCTATCGCCGGCGCCAATTTGTAAGTTCACACTTCTTCTATGGTCCTCCAGCTAAAATCGTGGGAAGGCGAACGACGAGAGTGAGTCTGGAAGTCCTTCAGAAGTACCAGACCATGATTGAAGACACGAAAGCGGATCTCCATGAGCACCTGAGCAACATTGATGACAAGTTGCGGGATGGATTTCCAGAGGACAACGACTCAACGAACGTTGTCGAAGAGTGGGACATGGAAGCCGAGAGGGATTGCACGGTTCGGTGCCTCGAGATCTGTGCACAGGTGACTCGCTTTATCGAGGATAGACATCGATGTTTGGATGCATGTTCCTCTGATTCCGACACCACACCTGGCCATACTCATGCCGAGGGCAGAGCATCGCAACAGGCCACAGACGCGACACTGCGAGGTTGCAGCGTCCGAATCAGATCCCAGCATTCGCGTCTCTCCGCCCGGCTGAAGGATCTCAACACGAGACTGAACAGTACTTCCGGAGATGATGTAACGTCGACGGCTCGGGACCAGATGATGCAAGAAGCGGAAACGATTCACCAGTGCTTGGAGATTTGTGAGCAAGAAGCCCTGGCGGCAAATCGGGCGCGTGTGAATGTCGTCGAAGATGTCGCCAGCGCCGAGGATTCGAATGCGGTGATTGTATCGACGATTGGTGACCTCATTGCTGCGCATAGAGTGACTTCTGGAGCTCGATCGAATATGACGATTGGTCAGATGTCGGATGAAACGGTGAAACACCTTTCGACTGTGCATGCTACACGACTGACAGAACTCTCTAAGTCGCCGGCTGAACCGCGAACAGCTCGCAGCACGCCACCTTCTGCTGGTCGCACTCTGGGGGATAGCAACATCAGAACTTTGCAAAACATGTGAGAGGGAGCGGGCGGCACTGGTCCTCTATCTAGACCCTCTCATGAGTCACACCAAATGAATCCATTGTGAAAGCGAGAGGCTGTTCGAGGGCGCGTGGATGCGAGATGTTGCAGAAGTTGTCAAGCGGTTCATGATAGACCACCGAGAAGCCCGTCGGTGACTGTATTGCGGCTGTAGTGTCTGGGCTCAAGCTTCCAGACCATATCGCTGTCGAGCCGGTCAGGTCGTCGGTGTTGCTGTCGCGGCTGTGAGCGGGCGTGTAATGTAGTGTTCTACGACTGAACTCCAAGAAGTGTACTGATTGATTGATTGATTGATTGATTGATTCGTTCCTACACGGTTGCAGCCTGCGGTATCAATGCTGGCTATGCCCGGATGCAGAGGGTTGGCAGACAGCCGACGCAACGCTGACCGAGCCAACGCGCCCCACTTCGCCGTACTGATAGCACGACCAGCTGCTCCCTCGCCTCTGCTTGTGGTCTGTCTCGACAACTGACTGTATATATTTCCGTGATGAGTGTGCCTCTCTCTGTGTCTCCTCTTGTTGCTACTTGTATCAGCCATGTGAAAATCCTATTCTGTTCCATTTGTTGTGGCTCTGGCGGTGCCCTTGCACCATGTCTGCGACCATTTACATACAGTCTCCCCCTAATGCTCGGCTTCGTCTGCTTGTTCTGACCCAAACAATTTCCCTCTATGGGCATGGGTGTGTGCATTGAGTGTGATTTGTGTAAAATTGTTGCCTCCGACCAGGTTCCTATGTGGCCGTATTCCCTTCCTCTTGCGTCGTATGTTTTGGCGCGCACGCAGCGCTGTAAGTCATCGTCCAGCTCTACAGGTGAAATTTGCCGTTCGTACGAGGCGTCGAATTACTGAGCATGAGCGCTCCATCGCGGGTCTCCTTAGACTTTTCCGGGTTTGTTGAAGGCTGGGCGGTCCTTCTCCACGGGTTTTGGGGGCGACAGTGGGCGGGGCTGTCTGTGGACTATGTGTGTTTTTGGCGTCGACCGTAGCCTGCCGGATGTCTAGTGTTCTGGTTCGCGAAGTAGATGATACCGTTCTCTTCGAGGGCTCGTCGACGCGGGACCTCGCAGACTTTGTGAGGGGTTGGTGATAGACTGGCCGAAAGCCTATCGGTGATTGTGTGTTGCTGCTATAGTATTGTTGAGTGTTTGTGCTTAGTCGGCCCATTCGTGTTGCTGGCGAGTTGTTCACGGCGCTGCTGCTGTCGCTGACTCCATCGTACGCGTTCTGTCCGTTTCGTGCTCTTCTTGTTTGGTGACCTTTCGTCTCCCACGACCGCGACGGCAGCTCTGCAGGCATATATGCGCGGAGGGATAGGAATATGAAAGTGTGTAGGGTGTGTGGATGGGAACACTCGAAAGACGGAATGGTGTTTCGCGATGCGCCGCACTGCGAATGATCCAACAGGCACCAATCACGTGATGTTTCATGCGCACTCAGTGCAAAGCGGGCGGCTAATCACTGGATGGCGTGAGAAACACGAACATAGCGAGAATCTCACTTTTCGGAATTCAGTCGTAACACCGTGCAAAATATCCATCCAAGAAGGCACTGCAACACTACGCGGTCAGACGCGTTGCCTACTGCGCCTGCTGCGATGGCGGAGCTATAGCCGGAGGGGGTGATGTGGCCTACAGAATACAGAGAGCATGCCCTCAAACTCATAAAGTACCTAGTGTATATCCGCGGCTGTATCGACCGCACTGGGAGTCAGACCGTGCTATTAGAAGTCGCGAAGATAATAATCCAAGGCGCGACGTCGTTCGTCGCAAAAGTATAGAACATCCTAGACATAACCGCTATTCACGGCGCGCTGCGCGAGATGCGGGGAGACGCGAAAGCAATAAAAGAAGAGACGTCGTAGAGACTAGAAGCACTAAAGAAAGAGCTACGAGGTACTAATATACAGATCGAGAGGGTACCCGCGGTCGGAGAGGAGACGAAGGGAGCCGCGAAAGAGGTAATAGAAGTAGGTAAGGTAGGAGTTACAATTATAAGGGACGTTAAAAACACTAACCTACAGAACAACAAGAGTGCGCTAATAAGCTATATAGCAGCAGTAGCGAGTAGTATACTAGCTAGTAGTATGCACATTCCCTATAACATATAGACTATATCTACCTAGAGCTAGCGTGAAATTATTGTAAATATTAGAAACCCTATAACTATTGAACGCTTGCGTGCAATGAACCTGCGACACCTTAAGTCTTACGTTAACCGCGCCCTTAAACAGAGCACGAACGAACAGATAGCAGAGATTAAAATTATGTCCGCTAATCGGCTTAAGAGCGGAAACCTTATCGTTAGGACGGCAAGCGTTAGCGAGATATAGACACTATAACAATATAGCGCGGAATAGGCACGTCGTATTAGGGAGGGAGCCTCGGTCCGCGTCCCGATATACGGCGTTATTGTCTATAGCATCCGTACGTACTCTATCGATATAGACAAATTTATAGAAAATCGAGATAAGATTCTACACGAGAACCGGCCGTTTATCCCTCGAGCGGGAATTAAATACATAGGATAGCTTACGCGAAGCGGCGCGAAGAAGTCGATAATCTCTATTATTATCGACTTCGCGCGACCTAAAGATACTAACAAAATTATTAGCGAGGGCCTTGTATAGCACGGCGAGCTTTGCTAGTGCGAGAGGTACGATCGACAGTGTCGGGTTAAGCAGTGCTTCAACTATTAGAAATACGGCTATATAAGAATCTAGTGCAAGACAATAATAAAATGTAGCTACTATACTTAGGAGCACTAATCCCGGGACTGTCCTTCGAAGAGAGAGCGCGACGGACCTAGGAAGTGCGCGGCGTACTATAGAGAGCACGAGGCATAGAGCCAATAGTGCCCGACACGATAAGAAGAGATAGCCCGCGCCAAGGCAGCCCATGCTACAAGAGCGCTATTCTACCCAGTCTCGGCAACCGCGATATCTAGAACTCCACCTAGCAGCAACGGGACAATACTACGCTAGAAACGTTCGGCACGAGGCCTCGGCCTGCGAGGAGAGGATAGACCGTAGGCAGAGCTCGGGTCCACAGGATCTGGACAGAAACGAGCCAATACTAGCAGCGGCCCCGGCTCGTTAGACAAGGAGAACGAACCTCCGAGTGGATCTAGCAGTCAGAGGCCGCAGCGGACGTACTATCCCACTAGGAAAGCGCTAGAGTCTCTGCACGTGAACGGGATGGGACGCAACAGTAGCCAGCAAATAGACATCGATGTAGAGAGCGACTTATGAGGAGGAACCCCACATTCAGCATATCACAGTACAACGGAGTCGCGCTGCGCTTTCGGATGTTGAGCCGGTTCCAATTTGCATGTACTCTATGCCAAACGCGCCTCTGACGTTATGGTGAGGCTGTTGTTCGTCCAAACCAGCGCCATTGTTTCCAATTGGCCCTTCTTCGTTATCTCGAGAGGAGGGCATGATGGTCTGGTCTGTGGCAGTGGGATTGTTGTCAGCAGCAAATCTTTATGCACCACAGAAGAAAGCAGATAGTGTGAATCGGGTATCTGCCTGAAGGCGGCAACGGCTCCACAGAAGCTCGCGTATTTGCAAGCCTTCATTATTCGCCCTCGCGCATCTCTAGAAGAATGTACAGAATGTAGAAAAGGCGCCTGCTTGGGTGACCAATCCGCTTTGTCTGCTGTACTAGAGCACCTCTCCTAGCAAGTTTCGATATATTCGCAATCGGAATTTAGAATAACTATTCGTAGCCATCTTATAGACCTAGAAAGCTCTAGCTTATAAAAGCACTATTTCTAGAAAACACTCGGTCGAGCATAGTTAAACGGGACACTAGAAAAAGTAAAGATTTAGAATAGCATACTCGACCGAGTAGTAATTAATCTTATATCTACTAGACAGGAGATGTTTTAGATTAATAAGGTATGTATTAATTAGCAAGATAAGAAGAAAAAGCAGATAGTAGTAAATGCAATAGACCTGCTCTACAAAAACGCTAGCAAGGCGATCGTAATGTTGTCTTCGCTAATCAAATTATAGACGGAGTTGAAAATGCTTATTTACCTTATAAATAGTAATTTCATCTTAGAACGTAACAGCTATTACTTTCTGCGACCGGGTTGCAGCTCGTCTATAATCTAGAAGATAATTCGAATCTTGCGACGGATTACCAGGGATCTGCACATGGGATGGGTATCTCTCTAACCTCAATTTTTCTGTTACAATAGATACGCGAGCGTTAGTAGCTCAGCCTGAATTCGCTTCCGATTGCGACTCCGAGCGATGCCACTCTGCCGGTCGCGAGTGCTTACCGAAGGATGTTCGAAAGATTGACACAGCATTGGAGAACCACGACCGGAAAACCTACGGCGAAGAGTAAACATAGGTTGATATTGAGGTTCGCTGTAGACTTCCAAATCCGATGCACCTTTTACGTACCACAGTCTATGATCCCGAAATCTTGTTAGATGAATTATGCGAACCTCTTCAGGAAAAGTTTGGCAATTGCAAGCATTCCGTGACATCGCCATGAACTTTACGTTCTTGACCGACTGTCCCAAGAGCTGATGCCTGCGGCGGGACAGCCGGCCGATGCGTTGCTTGGCACTCACTCGATAATTCTTTCTCTCATTCCTACGTAGTAACAGCAATCAATCAGTCTTATTACAACGTGTCCAAGTCTGCTTCATGGTTGCTCTCCACCGACCCCCTTCGTATGCTTGTGAATGATTTCGCATCTCAATCAACATCGCCTTATTGCTATGAGCGATCAGAATTATGATGTTGAGCGAGACGTCGCAGCCTTCTTCACTAAGACGACGGTCACTCGAGATGCTTGCGACCTCCGCGCCAAGGAGCTCGTTACTGGCGGATTGCAACTTGTGCCTACACAAGGCGCCTGCAGTTACACAATCTACGGCGGCACCACTCTCGGCTCAGTCATTCAATTCCGCCTGAAGTCGGTAGCTCTGCCTTTGAAGACAATGGAGCTTGCACGTCAAGTTTACGGCAAATTTGCACCCAAGGTCGCATTAGAAGGCCAGATTGGAGACGACGATACAAATGATGGCAGGGAGGCTCTTGTGGTCTACGTGATGCCTCGCATGCAAGGCATAAGTCGTCTCGACTTTATTCTTGCTCATGGCTATCCTGAAGACACACAAAAGATTTGCGAAGCGCGCCTCACATTAATCAAGGACGTTGCCACGTGAGTTTTCTGTTAGCCATTGTTCTCGCCGGTACTATGATTCGTTCTAATCGTGTCCAGCTTCTTCGCACTGTCGTGGAAGGCGCCACAAATTCTTGAGCAAGCACAACTTCACACACTAGAACAAGAGTACGAAGGGGACCTCCATTTACTCCAGCATGCACTGCCCCGGCGCTACCAAACTGTGATCCAGCGTTGCTTGCAAGCACTACCATCCATCATGGCTTTACCGATAGTGCTTGCTCACAAGGACTTTGGCGACTTCAACATGCTTGTTGATCCCGATACTTGCCATCTGCTTGGTGTCATCGACTGGGCTGAAGCCAAACTAGAACCCTTCGGAGTCAATCTCTACGCTGTCGAGAAACTGATGACCAAATTCCACCTTCGTAATGGCGCTTCTCGGTACCCAAACTACGACACACTCTACGATACCTTCTGGCAAACACTTAAAGCAGAGATCAGCGCAGATCTCAGTGATGCGACTGTGTGCACGATCAGATCGGCGATGCTCCTTGGATTTTTGCTTGAACATGGATTCACGAGCCGTCTTGCCAATATGCCTGAGCCAGTTCCTATTTCTGACGATAACACGGAGGGGGCGTACAAAATGCTGGAGTTGGAAAGCTTCTTGATCCAAGCAGAGACGAGATTTCCATTTTTAGCGAGCGCGGACTAGAAGCTGAATTTCTGCAAACGAAATCACAATCAGGAAGTTCGAGTTCGCAATGTTAACGCGATTTCATCTGAAACACTATTACCATATCCTTTCTCCTAACGCGTGACAACCGCTAAGACGTTTTCCAGAAATCGAGCTCGATGGTATCATCCAGTTTTCAGTACGCCGACATCAAGCAGAGCGTTCTTCAAGTCTTCCACGTTCTCGAGTTTCGGAAGTGGCTTGCCAGCATTGAAGACCTTGTGGCTGCCAGACGTCATTTTGGAATGAGTCTCGTTGGCCGCACAAACACGTGGACGGCCGTCGACCGACTCGAAACGCCAACCAGTGATGCGAGTGGACTGAACACCGTGCGATTGGGAGGATTCGAGCATGACTGTCCCCTGGTCCAGGATCAATTCAATCATTGGGCTCTCGCCACAACCCAGAACTTGAAGGCCGAGCAAGCTTTGGAGCTTGTGCTTGATGATGTAGCTAATAAATTCACTCAGGAAGCCTTCGTGGACGCTGGACAGATCCGGCAACGCTCCGTCCTCCAACTCGTAAGGTAGAAGACCGTTTTCAGCCACCACAAACACGTGTCCATGGACAGTGGAAGTGTCAACGCTGTCGATGGCAACAGTCTTTGCCCAGCGAATACTAGGGTTGTTGAAGGTCGAGCCTAGAAGTACATTCTCGTCTGGGACCTGGAAGTGGCCATGGATTAGGTGAATGCCGAAAACCTTGTGGGCATTGTTGCGAACGAAAATCGAAGCGAGTTGCGCGATGATGTTTCCCTGAACCGGAGGCTGGTCATAATCATCAACGAGCGTGTTGTATCTGAGGCATGGTTAACATGTGAAGCAGGTGTATCCCGGAAAATATTCAACACTCACAGTTTACCGACCGCGCCCAAGTCCGTCAGCTTGAGTGCTTGCTCAAGCTTGCCATGTGATGGCGAGACAATACAAGCGGCAGCCATGTTGTAGCGATGGATTTCTGCTTGCCTTCGGTGTGGTATAGTCGTCAGCGTTTTCAGAGTTTTGGGGCTGCTAAGGAGTTAAGGCGAGGCTTTTAGGAAGACTGAGAGCAATCTTTATCCCTCGAGGAGTGACAACAGCCTGACTGTGGTCATGGGAGCGACAGCATAAAAGTGGGGCCCTGCCCTGCCGCAACTCTGGGCGATGTGGATGGTTGGATACGCGCCACCATGGATGTGAATCCTTCGCATGCCAGCAGACGTATGCACGCAACTACGGGGCCGAAAGCATTTCGGCTGTCCGGCATGCGCGTCTTTCCCATGGTTCTCAAGCTTAATGGGCAGCACTCTTCTGCCTTGTGCATGACTTCAACCAGCTCTGTTTCGCAAACTCAAGAAGCAGGGATCACACCAGCATATCAAGGAGCGATGTAAAGAGGGGTCGGAGTTCAGGCAAAACATGATCAGTCCGGATAACGAGATGAATCTGGTAGTCAGGCTGACGCCTACTTTAGTGGTCAAATACGGACCTGGTGTGATGACAACAGGAGGCTTTGCCCTGGAATATACAACAAAGAACCTGAATCATGACATTGTGACGGTGCCTTGCCTCGTGCAGTTCTTCACAAGTCGAGCGAGGTGTTCGCTCATCGGCTACCCAGACCAAGCTGCATGATTTCCAGCCTGCAAGCTCTGTCGATCAGATTCAACATGTAGCATCGATGTTCTTGTTCATCTAGGAGATGTTTTGGCAACCTAGCAAAATGTATTTCATTCTCAAATAAGGAGTCGGCAACATCCACGCTCCTAATGAAAACTTGAATCTATAGACTGTGCCAGAGTCGAGCCTACATCGCGTTTGATGGTCTGATCCTCAGGGCTCGTGAAATACTCGTCCGCCTCTAGGTTGAAGGGCGCCACGCGCGCGCCTCTGGCCATCGGTGCCAATTTGGAGATATTATTGACTGCGATATAAATCCAACTGATCCAAATTCGATTTGCCAACCCCCGCGTCCAACATTAGGCCTTCTTGCTGATCGCGTGGAATCGATGGCGGATGGGCTCCTAGTACCGGCCTACGTATAGCACACTTTTGGAAGATCTTCCAGGGGATAGTATGAATCTCTTCAGAATCGAATCCTATCTGAGAGAGTCGCGTTTTGTCCACAGGACTCGGTGGCGGAGCTCGAGTTCCCCCTGCTACAGAATTCCTTTGCGAGGCATCATCTAACGGGCAGTTACTGTAGATCGATAGACTTCTGCTCAACTCGAGTTCGTCTTTCTCTGGCTGTTGTGTGGCCCAACCCATGTTTCTAGTCTCTGGCGTTATTTGTATCTGCACAGGAAGCTGGAAACGGTCAGATTCAGTTGCACGGAATCAAGAAGATCGTCTGACCACAGGCAATTGCCCACCAAGTTCCCTTCTTATTGATCAACACTTCTTCCTCATCGGCCTTCGAGCGTTCGTGTGTACCAAAAAATAGCCCCGGAATATACAGTGTCGTGGCTGTTCCGGAAATGTACATGTATATGTTCCAGCATCGCAATCTTATGACAGTGTAGAGGCAGGCTTAACTTCACTGAGGCTAGGAGAATTGACTGCTCGAAACTGGCAGTGTCTGCACTCTGCAATCACTGCTTTGCCAACAACAGGCCTGTGGTATCGAGCCCTGCTGCTGCACCGGCCTGCAACTTCTAGCCTCGCCGCTGCATCGGCGGGCCTCCGCTAGCGTGAGCGAGCATCGGTAAGGATCAAGATTGGAGACATGATCGACATCACAATAGCGCCCACCCTTCCGAGAGGATTGACTTTCGACGACAGAACTAGGCCATAACACAAGACCCTGGATTCGAATTCTGTGCGGTATGCAACATAGAACTAGGACTTTCAGAAGACGCATCGAGGCTTGCTAATCAGCGTGAAATACTTCTCCAATGAGAGCTAAGCACGGCTTGAACCATTATAACAGACTCCAACGGCTAGATAGCAAAAACTCATATAGAGCAACCTGTTATCACTGAGATTGCTCCTCTACAATGGATGAGATTCCCTGCCACGCCCAATCCGAACATTGCGAGCACCGTATACATGCACAAACGAGATTGCAAAATGTGGTGTGAGCCAGAGTCTGATCGTGCTTGCAACTCGAGAGTGGCATTCTTGCAGAACTCCGGTTGGGGTTGGGGGCTGCCAAAGCCGCATCAGATCGTGTCGGACCTGAATATGCCCACCACACCCAGCAACACCAAACCTCGGCCGAGCACGCGGAAATCATCAACAGCAAAATCGTAGAGCACAAAGTGACGAGGACGAACCACAAGAAGAGGCAAAGCATTTGGTCTGTCATTCTCATATACAACCTTCCTGGTGATATCTTCTGCCAACTATACTGGGTGTTCATCGAGGTCTCCATAAGAGCATTTACTTAGAGACCCGCATGGTTCGTTCCAACTTTCCCCGGCACCGGGCTTTGTTAGAGCTGTACTTGACGGGCTGTTGCTGAAGTCACTTCGTCGTGCTCGCTCTTGCCTTTGGTGACGGTAGTGGTAGTAGATTGCACCCAATCCATCGACCGGGATCACCGCGAACAGCAATTCGATGCACTGTAAGAGACTTATAAACCGCACACCAGTTCTCAAGGCGAGTGCAGTCCACAGCCACAGTAGTAGGAGTGGCCTAGCATTTGTGGTTTAGCAGGATACCTTTGAAGATGGACGAGCAGCCTTACCCAAATCGACCTATATATGGCCATGCTAACTGCCATTTCTTTGAGCGCGAGGCGTCCAGTTTGCAAATGGTGTGCAGAACGAAGTGTATGGCTGCGGCTTCAACGATGCTGATAGACCCAGGTGGCAGGTACTGTGCGACCGCGTGCAATATCTTCTTCTGTCAGCAAAACATGACATGGAATGCATAACAAGGATATCACTCACTTGACTCTTCGCTCGCTGGCTCATTATAATGAGGCTAACAATGTGGAGAACACAAGCTCCAGCCGCAATGAGGAGCCAAGATCGCGCAAATCGCCCTAGGTAGCTTATACGGACCATCCTGCATAGGAGTAGGTACTGTGACATCCATACTGTGGAGAAGAGGAGGGACAATTTGGTGTGAGGGAGACGACGTTGTGAAGGCTGTTATCACATAGAAGCTGAATGCGGGCGCCTGAAAACGAATCAGCCTGGCATTACGATGTACATTCCCAAGCTCCTTTCGATTGCGTACCCAGACCAAGCCGCAAAGGGCTCTGTGTATCCAGAGGACCCACGAGGGAGCGGAGACTTCCCCTTCTGCATCACGAACTCGGTAAAGAATGAAGGCGGTGCCCGTCGTAATGGCTACTGCAAAAACCATAGTGATTGGCAGAAGCCACTCCATGGTCCGTAGAACGGTGTAGAACTCATGTCGCAGGTGTCAGGGCGACGTTGACGATATAAATTCTGTTTGGGCTGACTGCTCCTCGAAGTCTTCGTACGAGGCACATCTCGCAGTTTCCATGCCGCCGCATCGCCGAGATTAGGACACGCCACCATGGCTGTGCGCGCGGACAGCATCCACGACAGCGGCGCAATAATTGGGAGCGCTGATCGGCGCCTTGACGATATACAGAAGTCGAATGGGAGGTGCGAGGAAGGAGTCGCTCTGAAGTCCGGCGACCAACCAGAGCACATGCCATCTCTCGCTAGGCCGGATCGAAATGGAAATGCTGGGGCTGTGGCGACGGAAGCAGCCTGAATCGTCCTGACGCTGACTGCTCAGTGGGATCGGCCGGGTGGGGGCCGGGGGCACTAAACCTTTAAAGGAGCGACTCCATTGGAGTAGAACCACGTCTGTCCTGAACTCTCTTCAACAGATATTGCTGGCATGATCGCACGAATCGACAATTTTCGCGGCTCATCTGAGGACTATGTGTCGTATCTGGAAGGACTAGTGTTGTCATACAGATCAAATTCAGCATTCAAGGCCAATGGAGAGTCGGTCGCAAGAGAGCGAACGAGGCGAAGGACCTCAGACGGCGGGGGGCCGTCAACTTCAAATCATGGAACCCGATCGAAGCATTATGGTACATTAGAATTTGTTGCACTGGACCCTCAATCTCGGAAGCTGAATCCAGTGCGACGGAAGAGTGCGATCTCACGTTGGAAGAAGAATGCGATCGCTTTGGTGGAAGAGACGCCAGAGGCAAAAGTATGGTACAAGGTACTGAAAGAGGAGGGGATATATGATGCCATGTGCAATGGGGAGGCTGCAGCATATCTCATGGCCACCGATGAACGACTTCCAGCTGTACCTAATCACGAACCAGCGCCGCGCAGTGTGCCCTCACTCGCCTACGATCGCTTGAAGATGTATGCGCTGGCAGCCGTGCGGCGAGGAACCACGGCTTCGATCGCTTTAAAGCTAGCCAACTTTCAGAAGTTCCTCGTGCTTTCGGCGTGCTATGTGCTGCATCAATCGGGGGTGGAATGGCCTGTCTTGGATGTTGTACGCATATGCGTTGGGAGCGACACGTCGCAGAGGCGTGCGGAGGATATCCTCAAATGTGCCCGTTATGCCAACGAACTCCTCGATGCCCTGTACCTAGAAGGTTGGGGTCTTCGGGCCTGCGAGCTTTTTCTCTTGTGTGAGTCAAGTACTGATTCCTCTCGGGGCAGAATTGACAAATCGGTAGGGAATCGGCCCTTGACATTCTTCTATCAGCTCTCGTGCGCAAGCAACAGCAGCCTCCGAGTCTTTAAGGAATCGATCGGAACGCAAGCATTCACTACTTTGCCGGAATGCTATCCATGGACTCCGTTATTCGTCCCGAAGCTTGTGCAACACATCATAGGGCAGGATTTTGCGTGAGCCACCTTCTGGAATAACTGTCTGTTCGTCGCTTACGTTCTCGACAGGATTGATCGTATAAGCGAGCTCCTTGGCTATCGACACTCCCATCTTTTCTGCGCCAACCCGTGGCAGTATTCCGGATCGTGACGGTAATGCTGTCTGCTGAGTTGCATTGTATCTTTATCAGATATCGACCCAGAACAAAATCGCTAATCCTCCGCCAGTTGGCGGGACCAGTATCTTGTCATTCCCATCAATGCATACATCTTGCCCTGAATCCAGATCCATGAAGAAACCATTCTCGAGTCCCAGGTTGTCAAGCGCAACGCATACCAGCGTCTGCGGATCGCTATCTGTGCTCGGATCCGCCCACATCCATCCGTCCTTGCGGGCTTTGAACTGATATATGCCGAATGCACGCACTAGGGACCGATGTGCTGGTTTCAAGGGGCGCTGTACATGTTCCGCGGCTCTCTGGATGTTCTCTTCGTCCTTGCACAGATACATCAGTCCAACCCGATTCCGACAGCCACCCGCGTACCTACTTCGACCCAAGCGTCTGCAATGCTTCCCACATGCGGCGCGTCCTCCTGGCCCTCTTTCTTCAGCCTCATGTACCAGAATGGTGTATGTGGCTTTTCTTTGTAAAAATCCAGCACATCAGCACTCTTCGCGAACTCGGTTATCTCAATGACCTTGTCTTTGGGCACGCTCGAGCCGACAGCCTTGAGGAAGCGCTTTGTTTGATCTGTCAAATATGCCGAGGATGCGGCCATCGCAGATACTAACTGTAGGAGGTTCGTGTAGTGCTTGTCCAAGCCGGAAGGACTTTACGTGGTAGATCGCACGCGCGAGTGGGGTGACGCACTGACCTTGTCCCCCCGCGCTGAGGAGTCACCAACCTTGCACGGAAGAGTTTTACCTTCCTTTCTCCCCCAAAATGGATGACGCATCGGCAAGCGACTGCAGCGACCGGTACAACCGCATTCACTTAATCGAGGAACAGAAGAGAGCGGCAGAGGAGATCGACCTCCCGAGCGTCCTACGGTCAGCCGGGCAGATCCTCCTTCAACATGGTGCTCATCTCAACTTCGGCATCAGCCTGGTTCATAGACACCAAGATCTGGCTCCGAATTGTGCAATGATCCATTCATACGACACGCCTGGCAGCGATACTTGCCACATGGAGCGGCTCGTGGATGTCCAGATCTTCCCTCAAGCGTATCATCTTGACCGCGACGGATTCCTTCCATACGAGTACTCATTCGACCCGACACACATTCCCGAAGCGCCGATGCTGGACGAGTTGGCTGCGCTTCTTCGAAGAGAGCATGCAAGCCAACTGGTCGGATTGTTTCACATAAAAGAGCTGGGAGCACCGTGGCTGGAGAGGCTGTCAAGCCGTGGAGATGGAACTACCGCAACGCGATTGTCCCAAGGCAAGACGCTTTCGTCGGAGAATATCGTCACAGAATGGATTGTTTGTGTCAACGGTTCTTGCGCGGATCTGGTGGCCTACAAAGCATGCGAAGATACTGTGGCGGGACACAAGAGGACGTGAGAATCCTTGCAAGTGCTCAACGTTTTTGACGTGCAAACAGTGGAACAAAGTCTACCTCGAAATGACCTTGCTCCTTTCCTCATCAGCGAATCCGGTTCTATCGTAGCTGTCCTACGAGAGAATTCCAAGTCATAAAATGTCCGAGCTGCTCTTGTCTGCAGAATCTCGAGTGTGCCCAGTGCATGTTGCGAGTATCCGCCCCCGATCGCCCGACTATGTAACAGACACAGCCCGCGTGCGTCATTCGGAGAATGGATACTCCGTGGTAGGACTTTTGCACCTCGAGCATATGTCATACGCCATGCCGTATATACGTTCTTGTAGTAGGAGGAATTCCTGCTCTTCCGGCCGCGCACGATGTTCCATCTTCTCTAGCCGCTTCGAGTCCTTTGCCGAATGTTGAGAGCGGTGAGATGGATCTTCATGACTTCGCTACGGTCTAGTCGCCTTGCATTTGTTCCTTGAGCGTAAGGATCCTGGCGGTATGCCAGTAAAGCCTGAGAAGCCTCCGTTCAACCACCGCCTGTTTCCACTTCAGGTTGTGTTTGCAAAAGCGGCACGCAGCGTGTCCTGTTTCCGTGGTTCACTGCAAACATTCAGTGCACGTGCCTCCACTACGAGTTTCACGTCACGAGTCTAAAGTGGTCCTTGTTATGCATCTCGTACGCCGCTCAAAGC